CCCCAAAACCCCAAAACCCCAAAACCCCAAAACCCCAAAACCCCTTTTATCTTTTAAGGATTTAACGAGAAGAAGGAATTAGAATGTCGCCATCAATATCAATGCTTATTTTCCTTTCAGATCTCTCAACGAAATCTAAGAAGTTCTCATAAGGCTTCATGTCTAGCTTAGAGACGGCTCCTTGCATCTTGTCTGTAAGTGGAAGAAGGTAGGATAATCCTACCACTTCTTTACGCAATTTCAACAAGTTATCCATTAAATTCTCCTTTAGATCATCAATTTGGGAGCGAGTTAGGTTATCTCTGAAAAATTCAGCGTCTTCTACGATTACTTTTTGAGCGTAAACAACTCCTAATAGAGTGAAAACTTCTTTGGTCTTTTGGTCTTCATTAAATTGTTGTAAAAAATTTATGTAGCTTTGGAGGAGGAACCTGTCGAAATATGCAAACGTCATTGGGTATGTGTTGAAGGCCAAAAGCTTATCCCAAGCTTCCATTTTGTCTTCAGCAAAATTTAGCTTCATACCTGTCTGATGGATCAGAGTGGATGCTCTGTAGGTTAATAACTCTAATAATCCCATGACGTCACCGAATGATTTCAGATAAGGTTCGGCTTCAGGCATTTCAGTTTTAAGGAAATCAAATGTTGGCATGACAGGCTTCTCTGTGAACAAGTTCGAGAGATTCTGCAAAATTAGTTTTCCTGCTTGTTGCATTAAGATATTATTGTCACCTTCCCAAGTTCTATTCAAGTCCATAACAGGAATGGCTGAACCTAATCCATTATAACTTGAAAATCCGAGACCTCCTAAGGCTTGTCTAGATTCGCTGCATGTATCAAAAGTTGTCCATGTTAGTACAGATTTAGTTACAGATGATATTAAATGAATAAAGCTTGTCATTTTGTTTTCTGTGCCAAGTCCTCCCTTCAAATATTCGTCCCAAAAATCTACGACCTTAGTCATTCCAATATGTTGTACAAAGTGTCTAGCAAATTTTGTGATTAGTCTATAATGATTGATTCTGTAGTCAAGAAGTCTTGTCTCAAGTTTAGTTTTTGGATTCTTAAATTGCTTTTTCACTGCCCAATATCTAAGAGATCCAGATGATACTCCTAGAGCACAATCATTGCTAACCTGTGAGATAGCAATTCTCCCTCCGCTCAGACTTCCCAGCTGCACAGCCATTCTCTTTGCTTTTGATGTGATTTTTGAGGTATAGATACCATCTGGACTGATGTCTGCAAACTTGTTGAGTAAAGCTTTATTTCCCAACTCTAAAATTATCAAACATAATCCATCCATTATCAATTCCTTGCATTCCTATCTTGTCACCTCAGTCTCCGATAGTTACTCCATATAGTCACTCATGGGTCTCAGGATCTCTGATCTGGATCAGAAACCCATGAACTCCATGTCTAACTCCATTAATAATCAACTGAGCAAACACCACAGCCTTCGTAGCTGTGCTAGCCAAGTTTCCGATCCAAAACTTTCTAGATGTCTCTGTTGGAGAGTTGAAGATAAATTGATTGGTAATCTGGTCAAAGTGAGCAGTTGTTTCGAGCTTACTAATGTCAGACCCATGGCCAAGCTCAGTCAAGCAGAAGCATCCAAACTCTTCAAGCGTGGCTGCCCTCATCAATGCATCTTTATGGGTTTCAGTGCCCATATTTTTTATGCTCTTTAGATAAAGCCCTATTTGCACTGCAAACTTAGTGCTTATTTCACCTCCAAAGAAACTAATCCCCATTGTACATCTATTCAGGAGATCTGGATCTTCAATTACCTTCTCAGGAGTAAGGATTTCTTTCTCATAGATCTTCGTCAGTATCTTCTTAAACCAATAATTAGTTTTATATCTCATAGCTGCTCTTGACTTTTCCTGAAAGCTGTTCTGCTTCATCATAGAGTCAACAAGTGATATGATTTGGTAATATACCTCTGGTCTGAGCCCCCTCATAACTTTTGAAGCAAGTTCAAAGTCAAAGGTGCATCCATCCAGCTCTCTGTTGAAGTCTTCGGATGGTTTGAAGTGCTTCTTGAGTAATGAAATTCTTTTTATAGCCTTTTCTCTGTTTCACAACATTGTACTAATTTTGATTTATTTAACCTCTAACGTCAGCAATAATTAAATGATTAATTCACTCATCAATATATGGAGCGAGGAGTGGGGTTTTGGGGTTTTGGGGTTTTGGGGTTTTGGG